CAGAAGTCAAATTTATTCCATTATTACAATTTAAATATGTAAATGCTCAAATTCTGTTCCAAATATAACATAATTAACATTTTACATTTTATACATGCTGTAAAAAAAAAATCATTTGAATCAGGCAAGAACCTGAAACCCATCCCACAGCAACTTGGGCAGCCATGCTGCAAAATGGCGCCAACCAATGATTTGAACTTCAAGCCAAGTCCCATCCACCTGTTCACGCTGCCTCATGACAGCAAGACTCTGCGGTTAATGTATTCATCTCCGAACAAATGTTGTCAAATGGAAAGTGAGGGATAAAATATTCGTATGCTCCATTACTGGTTCCTTGATGTTTGAGTGAACAAGAACCAGCTCTTACTTACTCCATCCAAATCCTTCCTCAGCACAGGCGCTTATACAGATAAGAAACGCTTATTGGGAGAAATCTCTCAACACAAACATTCACTTACATTGCCTATTTTAACCCCATTACACAAAACCATCAAATTTTTAAAAACCAGTGGGTGTGCTTGCGCTACTGAATGAATAGTCCAAAGATGAGGTAAAAGGACTTCGATCCTTTTCAAATAACACAGCACAGATGGTTCAAAAGTGGGAAAGGGGGAGAGAAGAGGACACATTAGGAAGGGGTTAAAATGGGAGGGGTGCTCTTAAAGGCACAGCACACACTTAACCTTCACATTTTTAGTATGTCTACATGCCATGAGCATTTATCCTTTGTCCCTCATTCTCCATCTCTCTTTTCTTTTTTATCTGTTCAAAACAACAGGCGTTTTGAGAGAATCGCTCTCCGTAACGGCAGAAAAAGGGAAGCCCACAAGGAAGTGCTGCTGTGCATTCCCTCCTCAATCCCCACCCCCTCTTCTCCTCTTCTCTTCTTATCTGCTCTCTTTTTTTCCTCCTCTCCTCCCTCTTCCTGCTCAGGCAAGCCCTGCAAGTACGACGTCATATGACCGAACTGACGAGCATTTGACTGCACATTCTGAATCTGCAACCCTGCAAATGTGGGAATCAATCAAAAATGCATGTCTTGCAGCTTAAAGACAGACAGCATATGCAACACAGAGGGACAAAGAGAGGGAAAGAGCAAAAGAAAGAGACAGACAGAGCATAAGTGCAAGCCAGGAAAATAAAAGGGAAAAAACAGCACGCAAGCAAGCACGCTGCTGGGAGTGAAAGCGAGGAAGAATGAGAACGAGGTTGCCTCGCGTGCAGCACCGTCAACGGCTTCTGAGAAACTGCACACAGGTGTTCCTGGGCCCCGATTGGTCGCACCTCCTTCTCCGTAAAAACCCCTCCCCCTGCCTTCTGTAGTACTACGATCACAAGCGGAGATGGAGAGAAAAGGACAGAGGGAAGAGGAGGGAGGGAGCCAGCGAGAGAACGAGTGAGGGAGAGAGAGGACAGATCAGGCAAGTGTGGCTTCAGACTGCCTGAGCATGCAATCGCAACACGCTCTTTTATTTACCCGGCCAAACGCTGTGATTCGATTCAAATCCGAAGCTTTCTCTTTTTTCCGCTAAATCCACTTTGCAAAGGTCTGGTGAGACGTAGCTTCTTGCACAAATCCTTACTTGGGAGCTGCTTTTTCAAAACTGCTATTATTTCAAAGAGAAGATATCCTACTACAAGTCTGTAGTTTTTCCTCCAGTTGAATCAACCAAAGAATTAGCTAGATACTGGGTGCATTCCTTTGTATTTAAAGAAAAACAACAACCACATTAAACAGGCACTCCCTTATAATTACATTATTAAAGACAGAATATAATCCATTTTTGGTTCTTTAAAATTATAATTGTGTTGTAATTGAATCAAAGTAGGTGTGGCAGCAAACATGGGCCATGGTAAATGTTATTGTCTAGCTTTCTCCAAATGTAAGCACCTGAAAGAAAAATCAGCTGAGTTTTACTGAACGGTTATAATATGGAACTTCATGAGATCAAAAACATCCCAACAGAGAGAACCTACCAATGTTACACATACTTCAACAGGTCTTTACAATCCTGTTTAATCAAACTAATGAAAGTTATAGCTCTATGAGCGTCAGTAAATAATTGTATTTCCTACTTCTCAAACGCACATAAAATCAGATGTGCAGCATTGTTTTAGACTGCCGTTTTGAAAATAATAATTCACTTTTCACAATTTTTTAAAATACAGATTTCAGTTGCAGTTCTATTTATGAAATTGCACCATACTGGACTCTTGCACTACTTCTCTGCTGCATTGTTTAGTACACAAAATATTTACCATGGTGCCAAAATTTGTCAATATACATCCATGTTCTGTTACTATGAAAATTTTTTTCAGCAAAACCCATGTTGATTTCTGGATCTTGATATATAGGTGTTTACAAGGGGAAGGGAACGTGCAGAGTTGCATTTGAAAGAAGGGGGAGGGCAATTGTTACACTTTTAACACCCGGTATTGTCATAAAGGTGTGGCTCTTCCCCTTGTCTTAAAATCTCTCCTGCCTAAGAACTTCAAAAGTGGCCCATCAACCTTTTGCAAATGGCCCCGTCACACCAATGCAACATTACATAAAGCAAGGAGAAACTCAAGGCGTGAGACGTGGAGCCGCCCACACAGCTCTATGCACAAAACATTATGGCTTACTCACCAATACAACCTCTATGGTCTTCACTGTATTTTTTCCTCACATTTACCTTCAGTTTTACCAACAAACACCTTAAACAACCAGATAAAAATGCTCTTAATACCCGCTATTGGTGGCCTTGTTGTTTTGACAACCATTATTTGTTTATTTGCAACAATGAGATGTCATCAACAAAATACATTTCTGATTTTACGTATGAGCACTTACATAACACAGACACCATTACCATACGCAAGGGGTGTGCACAATAGGAAAGGATCTGCTCTGACCCCCATACCCCTCCCCAAATCTTGTTACTTATCCTGCATTCACACTTCTCCAAACCAACAAATGAAACGTATAGCAGTTGAATATGTGAATGCACAAATGTGCAAGAAATTTTTTTTATTTGGTCAGAGTGCAATTTCACCAGGACATAAGCATACAAAACAAAGGGTCAAAGCAACATATATGCTGACCTGGGGGTGTGCGTTGCTTTTTAAATCCACACACCTCAGAGGCCAGTCCCACAATAAGGTTTATCAAGATGGCGACGAGTAACAGTTCCACTCTAATTAACATTTCTAATTCATTTTCCACAACTCAGTGTTCGTGTGTGTGTGTGTGTGTGTGTGTGTTCTGGTTACTTGGAATTTTCAAAAAATCAAAAGAACCACACAGCGTCTCACTAAGGTAGACTATACGAATTCTAAAATTAGCATACGCACACAGGGGAAAAAAGTCCCTCAAGTAAAAACATAAATGGCAAAATATGCGAGTTTAAGAGCAAAACGTGTTTTGTCTAAAATATATCACCTACCAATTATATCCAGGATCATCTCACGGATTAGTAAACTGTTTAACATGGCGCTATCAAATGAACAAGTAAGGGATATGTACATACACCCATTCATATGAATATCCCAGCTGCTTTCAAACGGAGCCTGCGACTGAGGGATACATTGTGCGCCATTTTCTCAATTGCTGACGTTGGTTAGCTACTCTTCACATTAATGGCGACCACGTGTCATACTATCATTGTAACGTTGGCCTCCCAACACTAATCACAACGTAGCTTATGCAATCAAGGTCCATTTAAACATATATTCGTTACACAATCATCAATAACCCACCTTTAAAAAGTGCGCTTGATCAGTAGTCGCATATAGCTACAATTGATACACATTCTGCATCTGCGTCACACACATAAAAAAAAATCAAAAACAGCTATTTTATACATATAGGGTAATATCAGGATTTCCGTAACTGTTGCAAAGCATATCATACGTTTTCTCACAACACGCCTATCAGCAGTAAACAGATTCATAGCTAAAATGTGTTAACATGGGGAACACAAACAAAGCGCTGATTCACAATATAGACAAACTGTACCTGTAAACTGTACCTCCCACACAATTTTCCAAACATATATGAGAAGACGAATTAAACATTACCTGCTAATTGTTTATTTATATTATTTAGCACAAATGATCGTCCTCACATGATGCAACATTTTAAAGCGCCATACCCGCGAATTACGCCAGGTGTAGTTTGCACGTTTAAGAAAAATCCGTTTAGGGTGTAAAGGGGGAAGAAGGAGAGTTGATTTGGGTGGGGACGAAGGAGGGGAGACCTTTTTGTTCCACATTAACAGTTTTCTGCGCGCCGTGCAAGCTCCCAGAGCACAAATAAATATATTTCTGAAGTTCTTTTTAATTTAAAACAACAAAAATTGTGCTCTGACATTCAGATTTACTCGTAACCAGTGTCAGTGATGCGGATAGATGATCGTTTAGGCAACAATTCTTTAAAACTGCTTTGTTTCTCCTGCTCTGACCTGAAGCGACGTTCCATATGAAGTCTTTCCTTTAAATATCCGCACAAAAGTAACAGCAACGACGGTGTTCCGAAGTAATAGCAGCTTCTAAACCACAGCGGGCTAGAAAACTAAATCTGTGTAGCATGAACAGTTTAAACGAATCCAGCACCGAGGCCTAGGCCTCGCAGTAGGCCGAGGCCTAATCAACACAGGGAACATGTGATTGAAATGACTACGGAGAACAGCATTGTATACGTTTCACAAATATAACGCATGAGACGAGTGTTATATAGCGCTGTAGTAACTAACAGCACGTGGTGTAACGCTATGCCACTTGAACACCCAAGCACTAGGCTATAACATCCATCACGAGAAGAGAAACAAAGAATATTCTCATATAGAAAGACATGCTCCCAAAAAGTACCAGCAACTTAACTGTTTCAATCAAACAGATCCACAATTTAAGCACAAGGCGAGATCCTGGTGACAATATTACACATAGTTGTACTACTACCGCCACGACATGCATTCAGCTTTTACATTATGCAAACAATTGTTGAATGAGAAAACGAATACCTCTGCTTTTTAGGGACAGAATGTTCGACCTCAATTCGTTTGCCGTGAAGTTCCACTTTACCTGCAAAAGGGAAACAAATTATTATTTTTCTATTTTTAACCAACTAACAAATGAAGCCATGCTCCAGCTTCCTTACAAGGCCCCCATAATCAAAGTCGACTTTAGTAAAAAATACGTTGCATTTAAATATTAAATGTGTACCTTGAAGATTGTTATATTTGCTTCGTTATAGCCTATTGTCTGTTACACTTTCCTGTGTGAAGAGAACGGTATTTTTTACTTGCATTGCGAATAGCTTAATGATCGTTCGAGGTTGCAAAGGGTAGGCCTACGTGTTATTAAAAAGTAATCAAACTAAAAAAAAAAAAATGTTTTTTCTTTGTTGTTGTTTTTTTTGGTTGGCACTGGTTAAGGGAAAGAATTCGTAGGACGCTTTCAAGGGTCATTGCTCAGGGCTGCACAAACTATTTGCATCAACTGTGTATGACAGAATCCATAGGCTATGTGTAGCCTAGTATCTGTCATAGTTGAGACCTAATAGGAGGTATATTAAAAGAACAGCTGAAGATGAATTAATCTTGACCGTGACTTTCTTGTGGTTGGTATAGTTTTAACTGGATCCTTATCGGCATGGCGACCTTCGTGCTATAGAGCACACGTCACATGCTACATATGTGGAGAAGCGAGGAGATACATATTTTGGGGTCTGTAGGACAGATACAGAGAAATTGCATTGTTGAAGTCAGATACAAGAATGCTATATGGTCGGATATATCCCACAGTATTGTGCCTGTTAACTGAACAGGGGCTTCAGGAAACATGTTACATTTTAGCTCCACTGGCCTATTAGCCAAAAGGGGGAGGGGTGAGACCTGATTCTATAGCTGTGCCGGGTAGGCTGGACTAAACCTAAAGACTGAGTTTAGAAGAACTACGATCTACAGCTTACAACCACAACGACGCTAAATGTGGGTTACAGTTATTTTTCAGAGTAAAATGTAAAGCACGTTTTAAACCGGTCAGAGCAAAGAAAGTAAGTCGTGGTTGATGTGTGCATGAATGCTTTCAGTGTCTGCAAACACTCTGCACTTAAAAAGTTCACTGTCTCAGGCACCTTTGCACTATATAGCCTTACATTGGCCTGACTTCAATGGCAACATAAGTAAAGCATCAATTCACTTTCACAATATTCTCGAAATCTTCAGTAAAACAGTAGAATTTGAATTATAAACATCCCAAACGCTCATGGGAGGTTAACAAGAGCAAGTCATTAAAGAAAGGCCCATTAAATTCAATTAACTCACCCGAAAATGTTTCAATCGCTTTCATTGCCCATTGGTCGTCTGGGCAATCAACAAACGCATAGCCAGTTTTCATGAGAAACTGTCCAGAGTATGGAATCTTGTAATCTTCAAAGGTTTTAACCAAGTCTTCAGCGGTCACGTTTTCATTGAGATTTCCAATATATAGCTTGTTCATCGTGGAAAGACTGTAATGTTCCCCCCAAAAATAGAAATGAAAATAAAACTTTCCGTCAAAACGTTCTTATTTTTGAAAAAGGACCAAGACACCCGCAGATATATAAAATCGTGCAAATGTCAACCGGTTGGAATTAAAAACGTGTAGAGAGAGAAAAAAAATCAAACAGCAAGACAATCCAAAATAAAAAGGGGAAAGTTCGACTAACAGTAACGTGTAGCCTGATTAAGTCCTGCAGGCGAGTGGTAAATATTCTTCACTGTAGCAACCTTCGAATTCCCAGCACGCTGTAGAAATGATAACAGTTTGAATTAAGCTGACGTTTGTTACGATGGAATAGTGGTGCGAGTAGCCTATATTTAGCGGGATCGGGAGAAATTCTTTCCTCTCGCTGCCCCTCAACCTAAAGCTGTACCCTGCACTGTCACACAGATCCTACCGCTTGGCGATGGCACCGCCTCTAAAAACCGAGTCGAATTTACTAATTTTTTTTGTTTGCAAAGAAGAAACCACGTGGTCTCCGAGTAGCTAGAGAAAGGGGCCGGTCCTCCGCTCTCTCTCTATCGTGCGCGCGCTCTCTCAAGCTGGCTGTGCTTGGAAAGACAGGAACATTCTCTGTACATTGCACCGTATATCCTCTCTGCATGCATTTCTTACAGCCATACACACTAGCCCACACATGCTTCAGATTTGCTTATGAGCTTTATGTCACGAGAGCTGCTTTTCTTTTAACCTTTTGTTTCTACATTCATCGGAATTATTCGGATTCCACTGAGACACAATTTTCAGGACAAAGGGCCATTTAGTGTAATTTTATATTTTGTGCAAGTTTATGTGCAAATAAACCCCCTATATATGATGTTGCTCGGCTAGCTTTGATAGGCTACTAGCCTAACCTTTGTAATACTCGCTTTCTAGTCTGCAGTTTCGCGGCTGAAGTTGATCACGAAACACGAAGGCTATTTCTACTACTAAAACCAATAGCCTTTATGTACATGACATTGTTAGCTGTGGGTCACGAGCAGGGCGGTGAAGTAAAATATTTAATTAGAGTAGTTTTACAACCAAAGTTTATGGCAAACATTTTTGAGGTGGAGTAAACACGAAGCAGTGACAAACATATTCAATGCATGGTTTTATTGAAACACTGTATCCTTTTTAATTCGGCTCTTGGGAACTTGGCCGAGCGGCCAACGCAGAATTCAGTTTTACTTTAACAGGTCAGCTCCAAAACTAGAGAGAGAGACTCATTTCGACTGAGATCTCGTAAGTTCTCATGCTCACCTCCATGTTGCGTCAAACCAAGACATAAGAAGAAGGTACAACAACTGATTCAAAATGGGGGAGTTGTTGAGACAGCAGGGCCTAAAGTCGACTCGAGGACACCGCCTACCAACAGGAAGCGAGCAACTGTTGCTTTGCCTATTGTCTGCACACCCCGTGTATATGATGTCTCTTTGCAAAGCTTTTCTCAGCTATATACTCAGGTCAGAAAAATCCGACCTCAAAACCCCTTTCAAATGAATTAAACGCAAATCAGATGGGAATTTCAAGCGGTTACGTGTCTCTGAAATTGTACACGTGGCGGCAGTACCGGCTCACTTTGAGAAAATGGCTTCCCGTCCATTACAACAAGGATGATGAATGATTCACGTCTGGCAGGCAGTCTACAATTAGTCCATAACTGGTGCATAATGACGAGTATTTTGACCAACATTGAAATAAGGAGCAGATTCTGCATAAAACCCATTTCTCCTGTCCCTCGAGCTACGCGCATGTTTGGCGTGGCCATTCCGTAAGGAAGCACAACTTGGTTGATTCCAATGAGTTGACAAAAGGCGAATTTGTATGCGTGCCTGAACTGTTTAACACGTCTTAGTGACTAGTGATATATCAGCGTTATTTTTGCCTGGATTAACGTATTCCCTAATGCGCACACATGAATCTCGCACAACCCTTCCTGTTATCAATGTAAATAAAGACTGCATCGTGCAAACTTCTTCCAGATTATTATGCTCTCTTTTTTATACGTGTCCTATATCCAACACAATTCATGAACACACACGCTTTGTCGTGCATAGGGCCATACTTCCGTCTATCAGCAAACGTATACGAATTTAATCGGACTAAGCATTCAGCTGCATATCATGCTGATGTCTCTGTTGTAACACATCTGACATACAAGGTAGAACTATTAATAAATAAAGGGGTCACTCTTTTGATGGCCTCTGTCTAAACTCAGCTAGAAGCTGCTTTTTTATGGTTGTACAGACTGAGTTAGCTTTAAAGATATTAGGTCAAAACCATGTGTTGGCCATATTCTTTTAATTGCAACAGTGGCTAAGCAATACTGCAATTATAGTATCTTGCATTGCATATTAATTTCTTTTTATAGTCCTGTGTGTTACATTCTGTAAAGAGAAACTGTTGCAAGGGGGTGTAGTTTGTGGTCCTGTGAAAGAATTGGTGTGATTTGAGATTGTGACCTGACCACACACTGTGAGGGGGGTGCAGGATGGCTGATGTGGGGGTAGGGCATCTCTTTACTGGGTGAGGGGGACCACAGGCATGGAGCTCATCCAGGACAACAAGGACTTTTGAGTTTAATGGTGCATCAATGAAAACTGTCTCTTGATATTCTTTACAAAATGCAGTGTATTTGACAAAAATAATTGTTTTATTTATAACAGCTGTTTTTAAGGTATGATCAGGTATGATTTAAGGTCTCACTCTGAGGAAAAAAACAAAGCATGGTGGGAAGGAAGTTCTGAAAAGAAGTATAACTAAGAATAGTGTGAAGTATGTTTATTTACCATTTACATGTTATTCAACTAATTTCAGTAACTTTATGTTACTTTTAGGAGAAAGAAATGAGCAGTGTAACTTAATTTCAGAAAGACACAAAATAATACATATACAAATATATATATATATATATATATATATATATATATATATAAAGAACTTAGTATTGGTTGTCTGATTGGCTTACATGCCTATAAGGAAACATGTAAAAGGAAGACTATAGCTGGAAAACTTAGTTCATTATTATTTACGTTATCAGCAGAAATGTAATCAGCCTTTTTACGGAAAGAAAAAAGTAAGAAATGTTACTAACTATAAAAAAGGTAGCCTATAACCAATGGAAGGCAGAAATACATTATTGCATGTAACCTACTTCCATTTTATTGTAAAATTATTATAGAATAAAATTTGTCTCAAAGTTTTTCTACAACACAGGAAGGTCATATCACAGGAAGGTCATATTTGTTCAACTCACGATCAGCTGAAGACTTTTGCAGCTGAAGGTCTAACAGTGAGAGAAGTTTGAGACTTCATTACTTCTGGTTTCCTGAATTTTTTCAAAACTGTTTGCTTGCTTCTTTTGTTATCCATGCTTGCATCTGTGTATTTCTCCTTATGGAAAAAAAAGATTATAGATCATTATTAACTTTTCAGACTTTTTATCAATTATTAAATAGATTCAATGTAATAATACATTGATTGAAGAAGTAGCTAGTTGCTTAACATAAATCATTTAAATTGATCTGAAATTTGTAAATTGTAAATAAACAGTCTAATTAAATTTTGGAAAAATAACACATGTGGATAATAAATATTTTTTTGGTGTGGAATATAGCCAGATTAAACCTATACTTCAAATTAAGCCTTTAAAAATAGATAATTTTATCTATTTTAAATATCTGAAATTGTAGTTAAAATTCATGCATGCTTTACAAATTTGAATAAAAATGTTACAAAAAGTAATCAAAACGAAGATTTCAGTCTTAGTTTAAGCAGTCATGACTGCACAAAAATAACAACAGCATCAAAGCTGATTGAAAGTTTTCAAAGTTTAAAATTAGGTTTTTTCTCTCTTGGAATACTACAAATAATGTTTTATATTTAACAACTTCTTAGAAAGAAGATTGGATTATTTAAACACTTACTAAGAGTGATGTAATTTCTGCACTCTTGGAGGAAGTGAATGATAAGAGATTGATTGGCAGTTCTCTTTCATTTCCCATGATGCCACTCAAATGATGTGAGACCCTCTTTGCTGTCTTAGCAATAACACAATATAATCTGGATTTGTAAAACCCAGTAAATCCAGCTTTATTAATCTAAGCAGTAAGCCACAATGAAGAAATACGATTAGGTGTTGTTTCCAACTCCTAAAACAGTTTTGTAGCATATCTATACACTATGAATTTAGAATTAATTGTTTCAAACAGTCTTCACTTTCATTTCTAAAATATGTATAAATCTAAAAATGTTCCCAGTTTTAGCTCATCTAAAGACATTTAAAAAAAAGAAATGTCTCTTAAACAGTAAACAAATGTATAGCCTATCCAAACCACAAAGAGACTTGTGGGTTTATAAAAATATGTTTGATTGAGAAAGCTGAGTGTAAATAAATAAATACTATTTATTTACAATATATTACAAGCAGTTTCATGTTACATGCAATTTCAATGTTAAAAAATGGAAGTAGTATTAATATAGCCTAATCCAACCCCTGACAAAAAAGTTTCTAGTTTATTTTATTCTAATAAATATTTAAGTTCTAATCTAATCTAACAATGAAATCACTAAAGTTTAATCAAATAAGACATATATTTTTCTTACAAATACAGTGCAAGTTAACAGTATAACATATTTGAAGCCTATAGGAAAAGTAATTTCTAACTACAACAAAGTAGTTTATAGCACAATATACAAGCAATTTTAACTATTTAAATATGTAGGCTAATTAACACGCACAATACAAGCACATTTAAAATAAATAATTAGCACAATAAAAAATACCACTGCAAGTCTAATCATGCAAGCTTTTTTGAAAATAAAGTTTTCATAACAGGTTTAAAAACTGAGTGAATTTGACTTGAAAGAAAGAAAGAAAGAAAGAAAGAAAGAAAGAAAGAAAGAAAGAAAGAAAGAAAGAAAGAAAGAAAGAATGTTCAATGCACGCGCTGTTGTTGAAGTACCTGACTGATTCATATCATCAGTTCCTCAACTGTGTTTAACTTCTCGAAGATATTACATTGAATATTCGATATCCGTTTTGTAACGACAAAGTAATAGTTTTAATGATCAGCAACTTGAAGATACATGCGATTTTCCACAAAATGGAGAGGGTGGAGGGTGTGTCCAATCAGAACAGTGCTTGTCCTCTAAGCTGGTGACGTGCAAAACACACCCCTGCACGCGTGCAACGTGAAGAATTACACTCAACACCAGTTGTTGCATTTCCCTCGTCCAATATCATTCGATTCACGTTTATCAAAGTATGTTTTTGTCAACAAATCTGAAGAAATTATACAGTACTGAGCATATGAACACAATAAAACAATTTTGCTCCTTTAAGAAATGTCAAATGAGACCTATTTACATGTAGCGCGAGCGTTGGACAAAAAAGCTTTCAACGGTGGTTGGCTCT